ACTCTTGCCATTGTAGGGAGCACTCCCCTCATGGTGGGCAGGCTCCTGGCATTGTAGGGAGCACTCCCGTCACGGCCTTCATGGCCTGGCAGGCTCCCCTCATGGTGGACAGCGCTACCCTCCCTGCTGCTGCTGTTTCCACAGGGCGCGAGGAAGCTGGGCCCTGCCTTGCAAAACTGCCTTGATGTCGCCAACGAATCTCCTCGGCGTCTTTTGTAAGCGGCCCTCGGTGAAGCCCTTGTGCAACCTCCCGGCACAGGGTGCACAGGGCCCGGCCCGTGGGGCAAGGGCAGCTGCTCCCTGCAGGTCCATTTATAAGCTGCTTGAATAAAAGCACTGGAAGCCTGTTCAAAGCACTGAAATAACATATACAAAGGATTCTTGCTACGTTTGACTTTGTACAAATTATTTACAGGGTAGTTCACAACTATTTTCTTTCAGGAACTGAAGCCCCAAAACCCCTTGCGGTAGAAAGCTGGTAATTTTGAACACCATGAAATCATCCAAAATACAAACCAGAGATTAAGAAAGAACAAAAGTAGCCTATTAACTCCAGCAGGCTCTGGGAATCCTCAGCCCACAGGAGAGCCCAAGGTGCGGTGCCCGCTCTGCTTCTTGTTATATTTAGGACATCTCAGACACGTTGTTGAGCTAACGTGGGGCACCAGCTGCAGCCTCCCGAGTGTGCCATTCCCCACAGATTGCAGCTCTTCTGCAGATCCCCCAGCAGAGTTTCTGGCTCTGAGTCCCTTGTTTTTGCACAGGCAGCAGCAGACAAAGCGTCTACTTGCTCAGCGTGGGGGAGCCTCACAGGATCTTCCTCCTGGTGCTCTCTGTGCAGCGGTTCATGATGAGGTCTTTGCTGGGCCGGGGAGGAACAGCAGGTTGAGCCTTGGACCTGTTTTCTTCCTGCTCATTTTTCTCAACTGCAGGTGAAGCAGACATGGAGATGGGTCAGCGCTCTGTACCACCCCATGCCTTCGTGTCACAACTTCCTGCTCCATCTTTGTCAGATTTATACCCAGGGTAAATGATCTCCTCCAAATACCTCCCTGCACGTGCTTTTCCCCCTGGAGAAGCCTGGGAGTGACCTGTATGTGCAGGTCCTCTGGTGTCATCTCCCCTCTGCGCTGGGAGCAGAGCTAGAGTCCCCCTCATGGAGACTGCTATGGCTCTAGGGACATCCTAAGCCTTGGATTGAAAAATGCACAGGGCTTTGAAGTAAAACTCACGGATAACATTGGCCTTTTCCTTGAAATTGCCCTTCATATTTCTCCGGCTCTGGATGTACTTCCTGCTGTTGCGCCTGTAGGTCTCCTGGCTGATCTGCTTGCGGCTCTGCTTGTGGATGCTCCTCACGTTGCGAATAGTGGATCTGCAGTGAGTCACAGATGAAACTTTCAATTTCTGTTCCATTCCTCCTCCGTACACTTTCTTATTCAGGATTTCCTGACACTCACAGACGAAGGCAGCACTTCCTCCTTTAACTCCCCATATCCTAATATCTGGTTTTCATTATTGCTGGGCAGAAGGCAGCAGGTTTCGGGACATGCTTCTGCCTGCAGCTCTTAGCTCAGAGTTGAACACTCAGCAGAAAAACTACAGCAAGTGAAAGCCCAAGATGCTACACAGCACCACGCTGGCTGCCACCGGGAAACCCCCGGGCTGCGGGAATGTCCCCAGGCAGCTGGAGTGAGGCCACCACCTCCTTTCCATTACCAGACACTGAGATAGGTGGTTTCTGCTGCCCATCCCACAGCATCTTCCCACCTGGCACCTCTTTGCTGGGCCCATCTGCCTTCGGCCTCTCCCTGGTTCCAGCACGAACCCGTGGCAGTTTTGTCACCACGTCACAGGAGGGCTCCTTCCCACAGGGCTCCAGCAGGGCCGGATTTTGAGGGATTTTTGTACAAAGCTGCCCTGTTTTTTCTTTTTGTTTTTCTTCTTTTTTTTTTTCTTTTTCTTTAAGGGAGAAAAGATACAGGCAAGCTCAGCCCTTCCTACCAGTTGTCATTGCATCAGCATTAATGGGTTATTATTGCTTTTTATCTTTTTAATCAAAATAAAATCCCTTCCATTAGCTCAAATCCTCCCATCAGATTAGGCCATTTGGCAGCTCTGATTAGTCAAATCTCTCCTCGCTCCTCAAGGGTTCAGTGAATGCACTTAGGCGGAAAAACCCAGTTTAAAAATTAAATGAGATTAGCCCAGAAAAGAAACTTTGCAGAAGGACAAAGTGAAACACGGCTGACTGGAGGGCCTCTTGGAGCAAGACCCGCACAGTCCTTGCACCAGGAGTGCTGGGCTGCCTCTCCTCCCAGGAAGGCAGGGAGTAGAGCTGTTTTTGCTGGAATCCTGCAGGATCTGCTGCTTGGCCGTTCCTTCCACGGCTCACCTCCCTCCAAGGCAGTTCCATATTACCCAGATGGGCAAGGGAAGTCTCAAACCACTGTCTGGTTTCATTCCATCCCCTTCCTGGAAAGGAGCTGTCATCCTCCTCCCTCCCTTCGGAGCCCTTCCTACCTCCGCGGAGGAGCGCTGCGGTTCCTCAGCTCACTCTTCACAGGGCTGTTCTCCTCCCCAGATTTCTGTAGGTACATGGAGGGGTAGAAACCCGTGGCTTCATTCTTCCTGCAATACAACACAAAGGAGCGTTGCTTGCAATTACAGCTCTTCGATTACCACAGCTTTGTCCCAGGCAGGTGGTGGTGCTGGGGGATTAGTTCTCATGACGGTGAGAACTAACAGCCTTGTGTCTATCTCCAAAAGTGCATTTTGAGCCCCAAAAGCGACTGGCAGGATCACACAGAGCAACAGCTCACTTCCCCAGGGCCTCATTGGCTTCTCTTATCTCCCGTGGGGGTTTCACCAGGCTCCTCAAGGTGCAAGAGCTCAGGGTGCTCCTGCCGGGCAGTGGCTGCTCCAGCCTCTCTGCAGTCCCCCCGTTCTGCATTCAGGTCCCCCCACTCCCCGTTGTGTGTTGGGCTGCTGCTTCGGCCCCTGTCTCACCCTGCAAGTGCTGTTGGAGCCGGTGCCACCCGTGGGACACAGGCTGGGGTGGAAGGAGCTACCTGAGTTGTCGCTGCTACATGTCCCTGCTGCAAAAGTGCAAACTGTGACTCTGCAGAGCACACACACAGCTGGGCTTCCCCTAGGGAAAGTCCAAATACGCTTGCCAAGGCTGGCAGGGAAGATGAATTTTGCAAAGCAAAACGTGCCAGAATACTTAGAAGTTGGCAAAATAATAGATATGTGTTTTTTTTTCATCTGCCCCATTCTTGGACATATCTGAACCACCAGCAAAGGAAGCAGCAGCCACAATATCTAACATTTACAAAGCCACAAGACTGCTAGAAGCAGTTCTGCAAAAGGAAGGGCGGCAGCAAACAGTTCACATATTTCACAGCCCAGCTGCAATAAACAACTGGTTTGTCCTTTCTGTCTTCCCAAATCCCATTTGTCTGACTTATTCTTGGCATCTCTCACCTGATGACCCACCAGCCATCAAGTAGCTTGTGGATGACTTCTATAGTATCACCCTCCTTGAGAGTCAGCTCGTCCTCCTCGCTGGCTGTGTAGCTCTTCTGCACGATGTAGAGCTCCCCTGCGTGCACAGAATGGGGACAGATGGACGGTCACCGGTCACTGTCACTGGTGACGCTGCCGCGCGGTGCTGCCTGCACTGATGGGACTCAGCCTTTCCTGCCATTAAGGAGAGGAGGCACCAGAGCATTCACCCCATTTTTAGTGCAAGATTAGAGTGCTTCCAGTCCCTGAGTTGGGATTCAAGTTTCCCCCAGCCTTGTCTGTGCTTGGGGAGCAGTCAGGTCCCCCCCTCGCTTCTAGTTATTGCAAGCAGTGGAAGTACCAAAGTATGCTGTAATTCAGACCATCAAATGAGGAACAGGGAAGTGTTGTGCTGATAGAGTCTGTTGCAGTGTTTTGAAAAACCACAGAGATGAAACCATGAAAACAATAAGCATGAGTCTGAAGGAACCCTTTTCTGTTCTGTGCAACATGCACTCCATGGTCAGATGACACAGAGGGTGGATAAGAAACCTAACAGAAGCTGAGCACTAGAAAAACCCTGCACCTCCCTTTGGATGCTGCACTTTGCTCATATACTAATGCAGCAACGTGATATGCACCCAGCTAGCTCAAGACACCCACGGGCAGGTGTGAAATTAAGCTCTACATCCATGACGAAACCAAACAGGCACCTAATGCTGAGCTGCAGGTCATAACCCTGTAGTGTCACCTTTGCAAGCTGTGTGCAGGGAGTGACTCCAGGCTATGGCGAACTGGGTTATGTGAGTATTTTACCTGCATAGTTGGGCTCCTGCTCTTCAGATTCATCAGGACCATCCATGGGCTCCAGATAGGCAGCTGGCACCCAGCCCCGCTTATTCTTTAACTGGCAAAACCACCAGCCTGTAACGAAAGCAGCCGTGGGTAGCAACGCAGCGAGCACCTCCTGCTGATGGGCCTCACAGCCCGACGTGGAACCGGTGAGGAGCCTCTGTCCAGGTGTCAGATGGGGGGAAGAAAGAGGTGCAAAGGATTCCTAGGGCTCAGCACCACCATCTGTTCACCTCTGAGTCAGTCATCTCCAGTCCCTGGGGACAGGGGGAAGCTGGTGTGTGTTGCATGGGAACACAGGTCTCCCTCCACTCGCTACAGGGAGAGTTTTAGACATCTCTGAGGGAGATGTCTGCACTGTGACTGTCCCCATGGAGGCCCCAGATAGCTGCAGGTGCTCCCCAGCACCATCCCGACTAGGACACAGCTGACCACCCACCCGCATGAGGTAAAGCTAAAATCACCACCCATGGGTCTTGCTATTGCTGTAGACTGTGTCAGCAAGAGCAGAGGGGCAACAGTGAGCAAAGACACCAACACGGTGGCGCGGACCGGTGCAGCAACAGGCTACAAGCCACACAGTCTGGCTCTGACTTCGGGTGCTTCTGTCCAGGGGAGAAGCAACCAGCATTTCCCTGGGGCTGTCCCCCAGAAGGGAGCATAGGAGTGAGGGACATGTGTCCATGAGCCATAGGGAAGACATGGGGAGCAGATCTCTGTTTACGTTCTGTAACTGAGGGGGAACTGCTCAGCTCATCCCGGTTCCTCCTTGGGAGGAAACCTCACATGTGGAGGCATGAGGAGCGGCTGCAGGGTTTTCTAGGATTGCCCCATAGCCTTCCTGGCCAGTGCTGTCATATGAACCCATGTGAATGTGAATAGTCCCCAGCGGGACGGGAAGCAGGGCAGATTTTGTGGCTGTTGCTTATATTTGCTGTAAGCTTCTCCACTCCATGGGGAGACCCCATATGATGCAGCCTGGGGTGCCGTGGCCTCATGCTGGGCGCAGAGTGGGACTGCTGGGTGCTCCGACAACAGGCAGAAGGTAACGTAGTCCCAGACAAAACACAGCCCAGGCTGGGGCTGCCCCTCAGGGCTGCAGCTCGAGGGGGGCTCTCCCGCGTGACGGACACGTACCGCTCTCGCTCTTCTCCACGACGTCCACCATCTCCCCCGTTTTCAGAGCCATCTCGGACCTGGAGCTCTTCTCGTAGTCAGCAATCACCCGGTATGTTTGCAGGACAATGGGACCCGTGATGTCTGCAAGGGAGAAGCAAGACACATTCCTTCACCTGACCCCCCTGCCCAGAAATACCCCGTGTTCAGCCAGGCCAGAAGCGCCTTGCACCTTCTCCTGAGCCCAAGCGAGCTGGATCCCAGGTTGTGGACTCGGTTGCCCCCAGGATGTGGGTCAAGGCTGTGTTTTTGCCCCTCGCTGCTCCATCAGAGGAGCTGCCCCCCTAGTCAGCACTGGAGGCACCGCTCTCCCCGCGGGGCCGTGCTGCGTGGGGGGAGCCGCATGCAGCACTCACCACCCTGCTCTTACCAGTGGGGTTTTTCTTGGAGTCCTTTGGCAGGAGAAACACCTCAGGCTTCTTGATCCTAAATGGGTCGGAGCAAAGGGCCTGTATTTATACGCTCCATGGGATGCAGTTTGGGCAGCAGGGATGTCCTCCCGTGCGTGGCCGTCCCAGGGAGCCCTGCACTCACTGGCTGTCCGTGACGGGGCTCGTGTCGTCCGGCCGCACCCTGAAGAAGCTCACGACGTGCCCGCAGCGCGAGATCTTGTGCGGCAGGTTCACCAGCCCGTAGCAGTACTCGGCCAGCGTGCCCTGCCTGTTCTGCGTCGACCGCTGCCCGTCGAACCACTTTGGGGCTGGAAAAGAGGGGAAACCGGCTGAAACGAGCAGGTGGGGAGGACTGTTATTATGTTGCCCGGAACAAGAGCAGGGACTTGGCGCCCATGAAGGCCCCCGGGAGCGAAGCAGAGCCTCCCCAGCCGCCACGTGTTGCTGGAAACGCTCTGCGCCACAGCGGCCGTCGCCGCTTTGCAGAAGTGCCGCAGCTGCAGCCCACGGTTCCTCCTTTCTCCGGCGCGGCCCGGCGCCCGCCG